TCTATTTCATGGAGAGTCTGGGACAGTCACCCTGCAAAGCCATCATGACCTGAGCCTCCTGTAGGTGCTGAATCCCACACTCTTGCTGGGTTTCAGAGCACAGTGACTGTCAGGGCCAATGATTAACTCCTTAGGAGAGGTTTCAACTCCAACTTGCACTTCTGGAAGGACATATTGACACTGACTGATGGAACCTTGTCTTTGATTACCAGGAAGCTCTGCCTTGGCACAAGTCACACTCAAACCAGGAATCAGAAGCACTTTCCATTACAGCACAGACCTCAAGAGACAAGGAAAAAAGCCCAACAATATAGTTAAATCTCTAGGTTTTTACACAGAGGCGAATTAGGGCACAAAAGGAAGTCTGTAGCCTTCATTTCCATTCCAAATTTCTTGAAGGATATCTCTGCCATCACTCCTATTTGTAAATGGTTCATTTTCAAATGACAACACAATCCAGACGGGACTCAGCACCCTCGCTCTGCATCTTGGAACTTGGGCAACCCTCACACCTCTGCCTCATTTTTGTAATAAAGGGTGTTAATGACACAGATCCTGCCTGGATTAAAAACCTGTGGAAACTGCAGGAGCTCGGCAGGAAGCTTTGTGCTGGAAACTTTTCCAAAGCAGCCTTTATTTTTTAATAAGCACATCTGTGTCACAAAGCCCCCGACAGTGGCTCGAACCCACGCGGATCAAGGTGCAGCTCAGGGTATGCAAGAGCTGGGCATGCAAATATTTGTCTGTGCTGTGACAGCCCGTGCAGCTGCCTGCAGACAGCTTAGGAATGCACACAAAACCCAAGTGCCTGTGTGGTTTTCTATGTATCGAGCTGCAGAGTGAGAAATTTTACATATTCTAAATGCCTGCACACAGCTGGTTGTGGCAGAGCTCTGCCAAGGCCCTGGTGACAGCTGTGCTGGCCAGGCTGCCACAGCCACTGCAGGCAAAGGCAGAAAACTCCAGGAGGAATTCTCAAGACAGGCTGGGAAGATAAGCCCTTTAAATGAACTAATCTGCAGGGAGTTGCAGCGAGTTCACATTAGTCATCTGGGTGTGGATGTCAATGTCTGGCCAAGGCGATAAGTGGATCCCCCCTCCCACACACAGGGTGTTATTCAGACATCACCTGATCTTCCCTGGTGACTACAAAGCCACAGGAATCGGGGGCCTTTGTTCCTGGGAAACACAGGAGGCACTGGGCTGCCAGCTCTGCAGCACCATCAGCATCCTTCCCACATAAACACCCCTCACAGGACATGGATTCATCCTGATGTCCCACTGCCTGCAGTGCCCATCTGGAGGGATGAAGCCAGGTGGGAAGTTCAGTCAGGAGAGCTTTATAAACACCGGGAATTAAAGAGCATCTCTGCTACCAAGAGATGTTTTCTCACATCCTGCAGCACTGCCTGTGCTATTAAATCCATATTAGGAGGTGGCTTGAGGATGCATTTCAAAGGGGAGCTGCTCCATGCCAAGCTGCTGAAACCCATTTGCCATCTCCTGACATGCACGAGGTTCCAGGGAAGGGAACTGCAGGGCAGGGATGAGTCAGGGCAGCAGCTCGGGTGTGACCACACGCTCAGCTTCCCCAGCAGCCCCATTCCCCCCTGCACTGCTCCAGTGACTCCCAGCAAAGATTCCTAAGATATCCCGAGTTTTACACAGTCTATCACAGCAGGCACATGCTCACCTTGCTGATGAAAGGGAATATTATCCCTATTTACGGGGGAAAAGCTGGCAGTGAATTCCAGCCTCCGATCACAGCCTGGACGTGCAGCTACAAGCCCAGGGCAGCCCAGCCCACACACACGGGACCAAAGCAAACCATCCCGAGCTCACAGACCCACCAACACACCCACCCTGGCACCAGAACATCGTGGCACTGGGAGCTCCGGGGCTGCAAGGTCACAGCCACACACCAGCACTGTCAGTGCAGTGCATCAGATTCTGTTTTACACAATCCCAGAACCCCAGAATGGTTTGGGTTGGAAGGGACCTTAAAGCACATCCAGTCCCACCTCCTGCCACGGGCAGGGACACCTTCCACTAGCCCAGGTTGCTCAGGTCAGATCACTGCTTTTTTTTTTTTCTAGTTTTGATTTTTTGGTCAGTCTTGCAGTGCTCAAAATGCTTCTGAAGATTCAACTCTGTTTTTAAGTGTACCTGTTGACTTCTTTCCACATGCTGTGTATTAACTTAATGAGCTTCTGTCCATGAAGAAATAAAAAATTCATTAAAGAATTGTAGTTAATCATTGATTTTCAAGGCTACAATTTCTTTTCATGTGTGGTCAGGCTCCTGCAGGGTGCAGGGTGAACACTATGAGCCTGATCCAGCTCTGCCATATCCAGTACAGTGGGAATCCTCCAAACTGCCTTTCTACACACATTATTTTTAGTCAAGAAAACATCAAAATTCAAGATCACTCAAAGCTCCTGAATATTCACTAACCTCCATAAATGAAGTTGTCCAGGATTCTTCTGATACCACAATGCTTAAAATATTTTTAAAGCACTGTACAAGCAGCACTGGATGCAACTCACAAACTGATGGTGGATATAATTTTAGTCTCCTAAATTCTTCATTTTTTTTACTCTTCTGTGGTGTTGGAACAACCCACAAATACTAAATGGCAAAGGAAATTTTTTGAATTCTATTTTTAATTTTTTTTTCTTTCAATTGTTAAAGGGCATAAATCCAAGAGTTTTCTCAAGATATTTTGTTGGGAGTCAGAGCACAGGTGAAACACTTGAGGTGTGTTGTGCCATCACAGGATATGATCTGGGCATGTGATGTTTCCTACCCTCAACTCCTAAAAATGGGCATAAACTGCAGCTGAGCGATGGTCCCACCTGACAGCCCATGGCAAAGCCATGCCCCATCTTTGTCATTATCCAAGATGTTACAGTGCCACCTTCAGTCTGAAATACGGGAAGAAAATCCCTTTAAAACCCAGTCATGCCCTAAGGAGGCTTTCCAAGAGAATCTGGTGGCTGGGGACATGACCCAACCACAGGTTCCCATTGGATCCCATCACTTCCACAGGTGAATCTCAACCTTGGGAATCATGCACATATTTAAGGCTTTTCCTTGGCCTGTCCTTCTGGATTCATGGGACTTTGCCCAGAGAGGCTGAGGTTGTGGACTCGCCATCCCTGCAAGTGCCCAAGGCCAGGTTGGACGGGGCTTGGAGCAACCTGGGCTGGTGGAAGGTGCCCCTGCCCATGGCAGGGGGTGGAATTGGATGATCCTGAGGGTCCCTTCTAACCCAAACCATTCTGGGATTTTATGAAGACAGAAGGCTTGAGTACCATATGGACCAGGCCCCAAGCCACCCCTAAATACATCTTAAACAGAAGAAAACATTTCTGACTCTTACAGGAGGATTTGAAACAGGTCTGGTACAGAAACAGATTCATCATGTTTTACACCCAGATTTTCTAGGGCAGAAAAGAATGTTTTTAATGTTAAAGGATAATGGAAAGAAATTGCTCTCAATTTGCAGAATAAGATTTGCTAAATCACTCCTAAGGAATACAAGGACTGCTGAGAACTCTGGAGTCAGGACACAGCTCCCTGAGCCCTGGACATGCTGGGGCTGTGTCGTGACTGACCACTGAAGTGCAAACCAAATTCCCTTCCTATTCCACACCCCACCCATTCAACAGCACCTGGGGAGACCCTGCTGTCAGTTCTCCACTGAAAACTGGCTCATGAAATGCAAAAAACCCACCAGCTACAGACACACTCCAAACCTCCACCTAGAGCACATGGTTACATCAAACTGCATCTGCATGAGACACTTGGGCTATGCATAATTTATCCCTATTCCCATCCACACAGTAATTAGCCCTTGCTGACACTTAATGAATGGGAACTCTGATAAAAGTTCTCCAGTTTTTTGTGTTTCATGCAAACATATTCAATGACTAATTTTTGGCTCTTATCTAATTTGAACTGTATCTGAAGTAATCTGAAATAATAAATTGGCAGTTAATTGAAACTTTTTTTAAAACTAGTTTTAACAGCAGCAAAAACCACAACACAAAATTGTCTTTTCTAAGCAAAAAACCACAACACAAAATTGTTTTTTCTAAGCAAAAACACTTCAGAAGTGCAGTGCTTCCCCCTTGAAGTCATGCATGCTGTGGGGGGATAAAGAAAGGGAGCAATATAATCAGCCAGGCTGGAAGGCAGCAGTGATGCACTTGGTTATCTCACTGTGCTAATCCTCTATCAGGTGACTGCTCACAAGATTTCTTTAAGCCCTCATTACTGAGGCAGGAATCCAGAACTAGGACGGACACTTTGGTGACCCCAAAATAACGTGTTTGACCTGCCCGAGGTCTCGGGGGGATTTACAGCCCGGCCGGGACACGACGGGTCGCCCACTCAAAGCCTGCTGGGACCTCTGGTAGGAGAGCTAAAGGCAAGTCAGAAAAGTGTTCTGCTCTTAAAAAAATCACTCCTTGAAATGCTATAAATCAAACAGCTTTTGCTCCCCAGCCAAAAGACACACAAATTAGTGATTGGGGTTTCGGATCTAATTCCACGAGCTCTGAACCCGCAGCTTGGCAGAGACAAGGCTTTTAATTCTCTCATTAAAAGCTCTTCCAATTGTGTAAATATTAATTGTAGTTCTTTCCAATAATAAGCTCAAATCATATGACAATAAATCCTACAAGTCAGTTGGAGGTATTTAAACCAGGATAGGTTATAACCTGTTTGTTGTGCTTCAGACACTTCCATCAGGCTGAAAATACTCTCCCTAAATGTGGATTTAAGACAGAACAGCTTCTCTTCACCCGATTTAAAACCAGGGAGGCTACCTGGCTGTCACTACTCACTGTCACCTGCTCCAGCACACACAGACTGTTTTGGAGGTTGGGAAGTCACAGGTACAGTGACAAAATAAATCCAACATAGAGCACTACACCTACCACATATTCCAGCAGATCGGGCTAATCTATTAGAAAACAGCAAAACTGCAAACTCACCTTGATCATTTCTGCCACGTAACTCTCTGGTCCTGTGTATTCTGTGGAATCTTTGACTTTCACTAACACAATAAAGCACAGATAGTGCCACATGTTGTGCTCCTCTTTGATGTGCTCTTCAAACGTGACTGTCTTGTTGTCAAACTTATCTCTCTCCAAACCTACGAGAGGGACACACGTACAACCCTCAGTGTTGCCCAGCTGGGGACCAGCAAAAGGAGCTCTAAAGGACAAAGCTCATTTCTACAGGCTGCTACACTTGTTAAAGTCACAACCATTCTGGAATGGACACTGAATAACAGGGATAAACTCTGACAAATGCCCAGGAAGAGAAGAGGGGAAGGAGAAGAGAAAGGGAAGGAGAAGAGAAAGGGAAGGAGAAGAGAAAGGGAAGGAGAAGAGAAAGGGAAGGAGAAGAGAAAGGGAAGGAGAAGAGAAAGGGAAGGAGAAGAGAAAGGGAAGGAGAAGAGAAAGGGAAGGAGAAGAGAAAGGGAAGGAGAAAGAAGGTATAACAAGTACTGCTCATATTTATTATATGTAACAGAAAAATGTTGGTTAAAAAAGGTAGCAGCCCTGTATGCAACCACTTTGTGGTTTTGATAACACATCTCCTATTTTTAGGCAAACTGATAGCAAAAGCAATGTTTGCTTTGCAGCATCTTCCAAAGGTTCCCCCTTGCCAGCTGTGTTATGCAACATGGCAGGACCATGTCAGTCAACCACAGCACCTTCATTCCCAATCTCCTGACCGGAAAAACTTTCACAGGACAGGCACCACTCAAATCAACCCTGTTCCAATAGGAAACTATTCTTTGAGGCAGAGGAGGAACAGAAAGTAAAGATTTGAGGAAAAATGGTATCCTGAGCATTCCTTAGCTCTTTCTGCTGCCAAGCTCCAGTGCACGTGGTACCCAAGGACTGGCTGGGAAATGCAATGAGGAACAGCCAGTAATTCCAGACTTTTTTCCTGTGAGTTTGCAGCTATCCCTGACTCACACAGAGTAACCCCTTATTCTTAAGTGTGTCTCCACACTTACCACAAATAAAGCAAGTAGTTTTTAGAATTTCTTCCTTCTTCTGTTTTTCACTCCTTAAATCAGCAAAAGTGTCAATGATCACCCCAAAAATCAGGTTGAGGACAATAATGATGACCATGAAGAAGAACAAGAGATCATATATCACTCTAGCAGCAAAGAGAGGTTCCTGCAAGACAGAAACTTTAATTATTACCAACTCAAATAGGTGCCCACCTAACCCCTACCACTGCACTACCCCACACCCCCTCCCCTCAGAGGATCCATTGCTGATGCTCTCCAAGGGTAACTCACAACTCAAACCATTAAGTGAAACTAAAATGCAAAGCCACTAAAGAAAAACCAAATTAATCAACTACCAGTGTGGGATCTCTACAAAGCTGCTCTTCCTGTGTCCAAGTTTTTGGACTGCTCTCATTTTCACAAGAGGAAAAACTCTTCTCACACATGGAAATTTGTTCTCACCCCTCCCTGAAGCCCATCCAAATTATATCCTTATATTACCTGCTGTATATCAACAGAGCATCAGTGTGGACCATAATGTATTTTACTGGAATTTAACACCATTCACTGAATTTGCTCAGTCCCTTGTCCTCTCATCCATTCCATTTGACACATGACCTTTCCCTAGGGATGCTCCCACAGAAACTCGTGCCACTGGCATCTAGCAGCTACCACAGCATTTCCATCTGCTGCCTCTCACAAGCTTCTACCTCTTCCTTCAGCTCCTGAACTCCCAAAGCACAGACTGGTGGCTGCCCCATTTCTGTTCTTTTGGGCCCCGCTCTGGACAGCTCACAAGCTAAAGAATCCCTAAAATAGAATGGGTAGAAGCTTGTATGAACTGGCTGCTGTTCCATCTGATCCCACGGAGATGTAACCACGTTACAAAGACGAGCGTGGTCCCTCCTCGTCACTGTTCCTACATGTGTTTCAAGGCAGTGTACACACATTTTCCCCAGCAGAAGATCCCAGCCCTACACGGTTATCACTCTTCCACCCCCAGCCAGTGCTAATTTACCTCTTTGGAAGGTTTCCTGAGCACATCACCTACTCCACCCCCGCTCCTGAGCCCGTGACTCAGTACAGTAACAATGCACATCAGCAGTGTCTCGCACGTATGCTCCTTGTTCTCTTCCTCCATTTCTTCAGTGAGCACTTCTGTGAGCACAGCAAGCAAAGACACGTTGCAAAGCCCAGATTAGCTCTAAATCATTCTCTCCATTCTTTGCTGGGTATGCTCTCTACCCCCTCAGACTGCCAGCCCCTGTTGCAAACCCCTGGGGTTCCCCCAGAGCATCCCAGAACGGGTGGGGTTGGAAGGGACCTCTGGAGATCATCAGTGCCACCCCCTGCCAAGGCAGGACCACCTGGAGCAGGTGACACAGGTGGGTTTGGAATGTCTCCAGAGGGGGAGACTCCTCGACCTCCCTGGGCAGCTGTTGCAGTGCTCTCCACCCTCCATGGACAGAAGTTCTTCCTCAGGTTGAGGTGGAACTTCTCGTGCTGAAGTTCATGGCCATTGCTCCTTGTCCTGTCACTGGGCACCACAGAAAAGAGTCTGGAGCCATCCTCCTGATACCCCTTGGGGACATTTATATGGGTAGATGAGATCCCCTCTAAGTCTTCTCTAGACTGAACAGTCTCTCCTCATTAGAGATGCTCCAGACCCCTCATCATCTTTGTGGCCTCTGCTAGACCCCCTCCAGAGCCACCATGGGAGCAGATCTCATCCCTGCCCTCCTCTCCCCACCACTAGTTTTCTTTTGTGCTTGAACTGCTGCCTGTGACTTGGTTAAATCTCTCTTCCCATCCCTGTTCTCATGCACAGCTCAGATCACCAGATGCCTGTTTATACAGAATCCAAGCTTTTTGACAGCTCAGAGGACAAAGTGTTGCCTCTTCCACTCTCCCTTGGTGCCTGACAGATTGCACAGCCTTTGGGCTGCACTCAAAATGGCAACTTCCACTCAGAGCTTTCAAATGGCTAAAATATCACTGCTTGTGGAAACAGCATTTTGCTAGAAAAGCAACACACTTTTTTTGACCTTCTCTTCACTTGGCTGAAGGCTCCAATTTCACAGTTTCACTTGCAGAACTGCTAGAATTAAAATTCCCAAACCTCATATACTCTCCCTGTACCCATAAAAGCCTCATGACCTTCATTTCATCACAGAAATGCTCAGGAGCAGATCCCACCTTCCCACAGCCAGCCTTGGAAAGGCCCAAACCCCTGTGCAATCCTGAAAGAGCCAAAACCCAAGAGCAGTGGCCAAAGATGGGGCATCATGAACATCCCTGGCCACACAAGACTCTGGTACCAGGTTGATTATTTGTGATATAAAAACATCTCTGGAGCTTTCCTTCCTGCAGCCAGAGTATAGGAGATGAATAAAGCAGCTTTTCTTGTATCCAGGCTGAATTTTAGTTTCTCAAAGAGGACAGTGGAGCAAAGCAGAGCCCTCTCCTCCTGTGAGCAGGGGCTCGTGGCCATGGCTGACCTTCGATGGCCATGCAGGAGCTCCACTTCTGACAGAAACAGTTGTGCCCTGTCTGCCCCTCCCAGCCAGCACTGTAAATCTCCAACAAGGAAATAACATTTTCTAGGAAATAAAACTGAAATATTTCAATACCCAAGTAATATCTCACTTTTTTGATCTCCAAACCCCCCAAACCTATCCTGTCTACTTAATCCATTGAGTACTTCCTGATATGATATTAAAAACAGTTTCCTTAGTTTGCCAGATAGAATAATGCTGCCAATAAACCATATTTCACAGGGCATTATCCTCTGAGATCACATTTAATAGCCTAATGTTTTAAAATAATAAACTTTGCAAAGAGGCAAACTTTATCGCTTCCTTCTCCAATTGATGGAGAAAATTAAAGAGTATGGCAGTGTTTTATAAAGTCTGGTTTGCTCCTAAGTTTCTCTGGTTTAATCACTTAATGTAACAAATGTTATTTATGCTGTTGGCCTAAATTAATGATATTTCAAGTTCGTCTCATGATAGCTTTGTTTCCAAATTTATTACATAGGATTTTGTAAATAATTTTTTTTTTTTTTAAATTGAAGGTGTTTAACTGGAAAAAAAAGTGAAAATTCAGGGTTTGAGTTAGGAATTCCAGAGTGGACACTCACGGTCTGAAGGAATGATGGAAGAGCAGTTTTCACTGCTCCCTGCTTTGCAGACATCTGAATAGAGGAACTCGCCAGTCATGGTCTCACCTGGCTCTGTGCGATCTAAAACCAGAAAATGGGCAATCAAATGGGTGGTTTGACATCTTGACTTCTCAGATACCAAGGTACCTCTTCATATTCAGTGTGTAATTACGAGGCATTTAGAGCAGCGTATTGTCCTTGAGTTTAGAAGGGCACAGGACTTTGATTTACACATTTAATGCTTTTAAATTCAACCATAAAAGCATTTTTATTTCACAGAATCCCAGAATCACTGAGATCACCGAAGAAAGATCACCAAGCCCACCCTGTGCCTGATGCCCACCTTGTCCCCAGCCCAGAGCACTGAGTGCCATGTCCAGTCCTTCCTTAGGCACCTCCAGGGGTGGGGACTCCAAACCTCCCTGGGCAGCCCCTGCCAAGGCCTGACCACCCTTTCCAGGGAGAAATTCCTCCTGCTGTCCAACCTGACCCTCCCCTGGCACAGCCTGAGGCTGTTTCCCCTTGTCCCGTCAATGCCCCAGGAACAACAGCCCGTTACTTTCTGCAACATAACCCATGGAAACGAGCCACTGGCACCGACCTGGCAGCAAGGTTTCATTAGGGAGCTTGTCCACTTCCAGGATGAAGTCATCTTTGAAGAAGAGGTACCCCACGATGGAGAACAGGTAGACCAGGATGAGGGCCAGCACGGCAGTGAGGATGATGGAGCGCCCGTTGCGGGTGACGCTCTTGATGACGTTGAGCAAAGTCTCTTCCCGGTACACCAGGTCAAAGAGCTGGGGGCAACCAACAACAGCACGGGTAGCACCATCACCACTGCTGGCACCATGTGCTGGCATTTCTTGTGCTGTGTGCACTTTGAAAAACGAGGGGTGGAGGCAGCTGTGCCTCCTCTTCATCAGCACTGCGTGGGCTCCAGGCCTGAGCAGCAGCTTGGGAAGAAGCCCCTGCCTGCTGAGGGCAGGTGTTTCTGCTTCAGTGCTAAACACACAAAGCTGCCAACACAGGCTGTTATTACCTTTTTTATAGATACCTGCCTCATCACAGTCTCAAAACAGCTCATTTCAAATTGCCATTAGTTTTAGTTTATTGAGCGTATAATTGCATAATATCTTTCCCCCAAATTCTGTATTTAAATTTCTCTGCTGACATGTCCTTAATTTTTCACTGCTCTGGGTCGGGGACAACTCACAGCAGAGCCCAGGCAGGTTGTGGCTAAGCTGGTTGACAATGACAGAACAGGTATTTGTTAAATTGAACACGAACACAGAAAATACCCAGTTCAGGTACCAGAGGATGTGGCAAACACCCAACAAAGAGCCAAAAATAGCGTGTTCTGAATGGGATTTAAGGTTTGCCTCAACAATGACACATTTTCTCCACCAACACTAGATCTACTCCTTCAGTGCTTATTCTTAGCAGCATTGTGCTGTGCAGGATGAATTCCACCCCAAACAGGAGAAATCTCTGCCAGGATCCCTGTCCATAGTGTCAGGGCTGGAGGCTGGATACAACCTAAGTTATCCAGCTGCTCAAAAAGCAGGGATGCTGCTACAGTTATTGCTAATAACACAGTAAAGCATCTTAAAGACTCTGTGTCTCTTCCTCATAGCATGGTAACTTCAAGAGTGCCTCCTGTTCCACCAACATTTCTATTTTCCTCTTGAGAAGAACGAAAAGGTCTTTGTTTGCCGGTACAAATCACAGAATGGTTGGGCTGGAAGGGACCTCAAAGCCCATCCAGTCCCACCCCCTGCCATGGCCAGGGACACCTTCCACTAGCCCAGGTTGCTCCAAGCCCTGTCCAACCTGGCCTTGGACACTTCCAGGGATGGGGCAGCCACAGTTTCTCAGGGCAACCTGTGCCAGGGCCTCACCACTGTCACAGGGAGGAATTTCTTCAATATATCTAAGCTCAATCTCTCCTCTCTTAGTTTAAAACCATCCCCCTTGTCCTGTCAGTATGTGTTCCTGCAAAAAGTCACACACCAGGAAGAAGGAATGTGGCAGGAATCCCAGAGTCTCCCACCATAACTTCTCCCAAGGAAAACCTCCCATGTATGGCTCTTCCCAGTGCCTGCACAGCAGCTTCCCAGCAGCAAAGCAGAAAGTTTTTATGTGACATATCTGGATGTGCCAGAGATGGGACTTCACAAACACACAGACAGGAAAACATTCCCAGGGCCAAGTGAACACCTACCAGGAGGCTGTAAAAGAACTCGTGCACGAAGAGCCCCAGGGCACAGATCAGCAGGTACAGCAGGTGATAGAGGAACTCCACATCCATGATCATAGCCTTGTATCCTCGAGTGAAGGTCCCACAGTTACCCACAAAACTCATCAGAAAAATGATTTTATTACAAACCTAAGGAAGAACAAACCGTAAATTAGTTACAACATGTGGCTTTTCGGGAAAAATATGCAGTTTTTCCAGGCTGGAGATAACTCCAGGATGGTACCAACAAACAGTGTTTCCCACATCAGTATAACCTGCTCCCTGTGGTGTTTTCTGCCCAGCTGAGACCAAGCCCAAACTCAAACTACACATGTCCAGTACAAACTGTGCCCTGGCTGCTCTCCCCAGCTTGGTGTCAAAGGGCATCAAGACTAAGACAAAGAAGAAAGTAAAAGGTTCTAAGGACTGGAGCAGGTGCTCCAGATTCCCTCAGCAATTCCCTCTGGGATAACACACCCAGAAGTCCTCCTGTGTGCCATCAACACCAAGAAATGCTGCCTTAACTTACTGGGAACCTGCTAAATGCCACAATTACCAGTAACCACCCCCATCCCCCTCATACACATCCCCGACTGGGAGGGGCCTGGCACTCGGGGGCGTGTTGGAAGACAAGAAATGCTACTAAAAGATGCACTCAAAGCTGGGCAGTTGGTTAATAAAAACAAGGGCTTTGAAAAGATGCATCTTTGCAGAGTTGCTGCTGACTCAGCCAGAGAAACCCCTTCAGGCTTCCTCGCCACGAGAGACCACAAGTATCCGGGTTTGGGCACTCATGAAGCTGTGGTGGCTCAGCTCACACAGGACTGCAGCAGAACTGCTGTGTGGCAGGTCCTGCTGGCACATGGGCTGGAGCCAGGCCTTGGGCACATCACCCAGTTGTTTAGGTTGGAAAAGACCTCCAAGCATTGAGCCCATCCTGTGCCCCATCCCCACCTTGTCCCCAGCCCAGAGCACTGAGTGCCACGGCCAGGCCTTCCTTGGGCACCTCCAGAGGTGGGGACTCCAAACCTCCCTGGGCAGCCCCTTCCAAGGCCTGACCACCCTTTCCAAGGAGAAATTCCTCCTGATGTCCAACCTGACCCTCCCCTGGCACAGCCTGAGGCCGTTCCCTCTCCTCCTGTCCCTTGTTCCCTGGGAGCAGAGCCCAACCCCCCCCCGGCTCCCCCCTCCTGTCAGGGAGTTGCAGAGCCAGAAGGTCCCCCCTGAGCCTCCTTTTCTCCAGGCTGAGCCCCCCCAGCTCTCTCAGCCACTCCTATGAGATACAATGCAGCATTTAGTGAATCTCACACAACCCCATAAACTCTGCAGCTCAGTCCATGAACAGATACAAGCTTGGGTAAATAACTGTGTGCTTTAGCTCACAGACTCCCTGTTTCCGGCTGGGGTGAGAGCTGTTTCTAGACTGAGCAAAACCTTAGAGCTCTGCCTCCATCCTGGGGAACCAGCATTAAATGAACAACAGCAAAGCACTTCTGGTAGGAAGAGCCCGAAGAGGGAATTACTCCTCCCACCAGTCCCAGCACAATGTCCCAGGCTATTTTTGCCACGCACAGGTAAGGAACCCTTACATAAGGTGCAAGAGAACATCAAAAAGCCCACTCAGTTCTTACGTTGAATGCACCCAGAAGAAATAAAGTAGGTTGTAAACCAACTGAAAATATCAGCCGCAATATGGTGGAGGCGATGAGGGCGCGGATGCCGTGGGGCTTGGGGAGGGCGATGACGATGGCCAGGGAGATCAGCATGGCTGTCCACAGCAGCCCGGACAGGTGGGGCTCCAGGGTGCCTGGGGGGGGAAACAAACCCATTTCAACACCTCTATAACCAAACTAACCAAGTAAGTGCCATTTATGTCATATTTGGTGGGGCATCCTCCAGCCTCGTGTGCAGCCATCCTTGATTCCAAACTAGCGAGTGGAACATCTGAGCCCAATGCCTGCAGCAGCTTTTAATTACAAACTTGTTACTCAGTTATTATGTAAATGATACGTATTATAGGATTCCTCATTCTCGTGTTCATCACTGGTACACCTGAATGCTGAGAGACCTTTTGCAGACGTGTTCCGCAGAGGCCCTGCCTGGGCAGGTGAGGATGGAGCCGACGCTCCTCCGGGTCTGGAGCCACAGAAGAGTCTCCTGAAATCCTTTTGGTCAAACCCTCGTACTAGTTTTTGTCATCTCTTGCTATTCCTGGTTCTATTTCGACTGTCCCATGAGACTGGCTGCTTACATAACATCGAGCCCGTGTTCTAAAAATACACTTCCCTGAAAGAGCCGTAAAAAATGTTCAGCCAAAAATACCATTTACCCTGGGTTTATGCAGAATAAGACACTTCTTTCTTAAAACTGACATAATTTTTGTCTTCAAGCAACCTGTTCCTCAACAGACAGAAAGGCCAGACCCCCCAAATTTCACAGCACCCTGCAGCCCTTCTGCAAACATGTACTCAGAGAACTTATGTCTTACTGGCAGGATCCTCACTAAGGGCTTTATCCTCCCCCTCCCAAATTCAGGCAGCTTAGGAAATATTACTCTCATCTGACTACCACGAGCAGCCATTTAATTTTGTTCCAAATCACTGTAGATTAATAAAGACAGCAGAGGATAGATGGAAATTAAAACTTAATAAGCGTAAAGTTGAGCAGCTGTTTCTGCTGCCTGAAGGGAGCCTGGGATCCCGGAGCAGCGCTGCCACCGGAGCTGTCACACAGCACAAGGTGCAGAGCCTGGCATGGACTCACCCGAGCGGGAACAGCAACAGCACGGAGAGGGGAGAGAGGAAAACGGGAGGCAGCTCGGTTAGGAATGACTTAGGAATTGCCAGGAGGGGCAGATCCTGAAGGATCTCACATACACAGGTGTCTGAGCATCCCAGCTATTACACAGCTTGGGAATATATTTGCTGTCACGAGTTGCAGCAGTTCCCAGCAGGCCTGAAGAAATGCCTGGAGCTCATGAAGTCCTCAGGTGTTGCCTGAACACCCACCCAGGGCTGGCCTGGAACTCCAGGCTGTCCAGCAAGGACAATGCCAGGACTTCAGCAGGACCCAGGTCACTTCCAGGACAGAGCAGGGCTCAGGGCACAGGCTCCTCTCTCCTTCCCAGGGGCAGAGAGAGGCTGGGAACAGGCTGGGAGCAACGTCCTTGCCCTTGGCACCTGAAGCCAAGGGCTGGTCAGTCACCAACTGTCTGCACCCAACCCGACACCAAAGCCTTGCTGGGAGCACGGGGGGTCATGACACGACCGCAGGCAGGAGGAACGTGCAGCCAGTAGGAAGTTCTCCCTGTCTCTGGAATTCTCACCATTCCAGTACCGAATTCCAGGCATCCAGTTTTGTTTCTGCTCCTCAAGTCAGAAGTTTTACAGCTTCTGCTACTGTCAGATGCTCATCAGCTGCTCAGTTCACCGTGTCTGAGCAACTCAAGACACTGACAACTTCCCCCAAACAGTCTGTTTGGAAGAGTCTTTTTTTTTTTAACCTAAATATAAGATACACATGTATTTATTTTACTTTTTTTATTCTAACTAGTAGAGGAAGAGATTTTATCATAATGTTGCCTGACAAAGAATTTCAAAAATGTAGGGTAGGGCACTTCCAAAATGCCAATGATCCCCCCAAGTCTTGCAATTTGTAATCTCAACAAACTCATTTAACCAGCAGCTTTCTCGGCAGCCACAAATAAAGACCTTTTAACTTGTGATCTTCGAAAGCAGAGAGAGAAAATTCAGTTGCTCTTTGGGCTTGTTGAAACCTTCCAGGCAGAAGGGATCTGGGCACCCCCACTCTGCTGATGGTAGCACAGCCTAGTGGCACTGATGGCAGAAGGTAAAACTATTCTCTTCCCCCTCTCAAGAACACAGGACTTTGGTCTAAAAGATCCTTCTGACAGGCTTTATCAGGATGCAAACCCTCTAAACACAAGGAAAAAGCTCCCACCTGGACATTCCCCTTACACCAATACACACGATACAGATTCACTACAATATTTGAGTATTTCTCCAGATTTCCCAATTCCTGATGACACAACTCCAGCCCTCGACCTGCCCTGGGGTGCAGCTGCTGGGAGAGGCTGGATCTAGGGATGAGCAGCTGGATCTCATCAGGATTTACTGTGCTGGCTCCAAGAGCCACCAGTGTCACACAAACCCCCGGGCTGGATCAGAGGCAACTTCCACAGGACCTGTTGCAGCGGGACTGTGAAATCCCACAGGAGCCACACGTGTTATCCCATAACTTGTGTCAGCAATGCTGCAAGCCCTGCTGCTGCCCACTCATGGCAAGGGAGCTCAGAGCAGCAGGTTGGTCCTGAGCCAGGGGACATGGAGGCTCCTCGTTCCCTATGGGAAACCTCTGCCCTCCATGCTCCTGGGGGTGAGGGAATGCTGGAGTTGGGCTCTTTTTCCATATGCTCCATCGATTTCTAATGGCACAAGGCAGGTCACTTCACCCCTGTACACCTCCCCTGCCAACACAGGGTAATGTCACCCACCCCCAGCACTCAGAGGCCTCAGAGAACCACGAAAACTGTGTGGAAAATGTCATTAATGAAATGCAAGCTCAAGGAAAACAACAAATATAACATTTTGCCTATTTTTAGTTCAATACTTAATTGCAGAACTTTAAACCAAAGTAGAACATTCAAGTAATTAAAGGTGGATGTTTGTCTTGGATAATTTTTTCCCCTAGGAAAAAGCACGGCTCTGTATTTTCCCTACAAATGCCTCAAGAAAGAGTAACAACAGCACAATTTAAATTGAGGCAATTAAAAAAGCCAATTTCTGTTCCCCTATTCCCACTGAAGCAAACAGTGAGGCACAGAGTTTGGCTCATTGTACCTTCTTTGTTCACGTATTTTTGTATGTTAAATACTGGTACCTCCTCGAATTCCTTTGAAGGGATAGAAAAATGCCACGAGCAGGTTCATGAGGACAGCCAGGTTAAAGGAAATGCTGCTCCAGAAGGACATGTTCCGAGCACACCAGTACAGGAAAGGCTGAGCTGCAAAAGAGAAAAACAATTCTTTTAAATGGAGGGTTAAAAAAAAAAAGTCTATATAGAAAATTATCTCCACCAAAACTTCAGTTTCTTTTCAGTTTGCCCGAAAGCACAGCATCAATAGTAATAAACTTCAGAACAAGCCATGAATATTACTTGATTATTCTTCATCTTGGGGGGAACTTCAAGTTTCCTAGATGGTGTTTTAAGGCAAAGGATTCATGGTTTAGCAGTGGCCAGAGAACAAGTTCAGAAATTGCAGAGACCAAGGACTTCAGGCTTCCCCTAATAATATACTTTGTACTCAGTCACCCCAAGAACAATTAGGAGGAGGAAAATGAAGGGTGAGGTTCAGCCCCATCCCTCTGTGTTCTGCTGCTGCCAGCAGCTCACCTGCACGAGACATTGCCCTCCTAAAAATGTATTTTTTGCTGGTAACAGCCCAGAATAGCCCCAGAATGATCACAGGCTGGAGCTCTCTGACCCTCCCTCTGCCCGGGGGCAAAGGACCCAGCACACCTGCAGAGAGCTCCATGTACAGTCCAACAGCTGCACACTGAAATTCTTCATGTTACACAGACATACTTTTCAAAAAAAACTCCTGATTTGAATAATCCCTGCACAACCAAGAGGCAGAAAGCAAAAAGATTCTTTGTCTGAAGTGGTCGTGGACTGTAAGTTGACAAGGAAGGCAAGAAGCTGCCTTGCAGTAATTCCCTCTGCATCCAGGCAAAATCCCCCTGATTACTGCACAGCAAATTGTGTCCTCCTGAAATCTAGAGCAGTGGAAAAAATCTATTAAAAATGCTCTCAAAGAAGAGATAGAACTGTTTTCCCTCCTTGGAAGGAGGCAGAGTGTTTAGGTATCAGAGAGCAAAGAAAAAGCTCAAAGCAGAATTCAGAAACAAGCTGAAATAAAAATCTAACAGAATATATGGATGATGCTGAAGTTGCCAATTTGTTTAGGATGGCATATATTCCCCTATTTCTTGCAGACCTCTTAGGTGATTTTAGGCAGCACTCCCACATGTGCCCTAGGAGGAGATTCCAGACCAGTCTGTGCTCTTAGACTAAAACCTGGAGTTGAGCTGATGCACAGGAGGAGAACAGCAGTGGTATCAGATGGCAGGAGCTGACTGGAGCAGGAAGTTACTGCCTTATCTCACAATTTAGAGGGTCACTGCTGGCAAATTCTGACCACTCACCACTGCCCACTGAGGCTGAGCCTCAGCTGCAACATTTGGCCCTCAGTAAAACAAGAAATGAGCTTTTAAAAAGAAAAAAAAACCCAAAGCAAATGAGTTAGAAAGTTTATGGGGGACGTGGTGGCAGTGCATGAATTAAAATATCATTAAAAAGGATTTCCTAGCTGCCAATGGGAATCTCAGAGGGAAATCAGTGCTTGAAAATGCTTGCTTTCAGATATTTTATCATCACAGGGCTGGGAGTGACTTATTAGCCTGTCAGTCAATTCCTTGCCCAAAGAAAGAACCAGTTCTACTTCACTGTCACTGGGAAATGCATGTTTAACCTGTTCTTAAACAGCTCCATTGCTGGAGATGCCAAAGTCCATAGAATCATTAAGGCTGGAAAAGACCTTTAAGATCATCGACTCCAACTTTGCTGCATCACCCATCCTCCCCCCTCCCTGGAACACGTGGGAATTCAGCACAGGGAAGGAGAATGGGCCACTGTTCCCTTCAGCTGCGTCCTCTCCCTTTCTCCCTGCCACATTCTCATTTAAGCAAAGCCTCCACAGATTTGTTCCTTCCCACTGGATCTTAAAAAAGACGACCTGTGCTCCTTCCTCCTGCTCTCCCCTGGATCCCCTCCAGAGGGTCCATATTGCTCCAGCATTCATTGCCTACATCACAGCATCTTGCCATCATGCAGAGGAGTAGCTCTTACAAACAATTATCGAGGTTGGTGCCACACTGGGAACCATCTGTTACCCAGCCAACGTTTCCGACCCCCAAACCCCGACCCCAGAGTTCCGCTGGCACCGCTCCCCGCGACCACGACACCGACCCACCTCGCAGCTTCTTCTGCCAGTTCATCTCGTTGAAGAGGTCCTCTGATTTTAGGAAGAAGTCATTGATCTTGCTGCCCTGCTCGTCCCTCTCTGTGGTGTAGTAAATCCGCAGCTTGGACTCCTTGGTGAGGAACTCGCAGATGCTGGGCACGGGGAAGACGATCTGCTCCATGGTACGGTCCGACCTGACAATCTGAACAGCAGCCCCATGAGTCCTGCCTTGCTCTTAAGTACTTGTATTTCTTGAGTTTCTGCCTTTTTTTCTCCCCTTTGAAACATGCAGAAACTTGGACAAATTTCTGTACAACAGCAGCCCGACAGAGGTTTCAGTTAATTTACCTTTCAAAGCAGGCCTACATTTAGCCCCAAGGCTAATTTCTATGCCATGGTCTAATCCCAGTATACTGGTCTGAGCTGGGATTTCCAAGGGGCCCAGTGGATCCTGCACCAAAGCTGGGATGGATTTCAGAGCAATGTGGTTGCCCAGTTCAATAATATTGGTAAATTTTAGCCACAAGGAAGTATGAGGAATAACAGTTATATCTGCATTGTTTACTAGAGAGTTTTGTGAAGTCATATAACCACAGAATGGTTTGAGTTGGATGGACCTTAAAGCCCATCCAGTGCCACCCCCTGCCATGGGCAGGGACACCTTCCACTAGCCCAGGTTGCTCCAAGCCCTGTCCAACCTGGCCTTGGACACTTCCAGGGATGGGGCAGGCACAGCTTCTCTGGGAAATCTCCCTGTTCATGAGAATTTTACTTTTACAAAGCTCTTAGATGGTACATGAGGCCAAATTGCCATCAGAATCCAGAAAGAGTGGCAAAAGCTCTGACAAACTTCATGGATTCAGCAACAGCACCGGCCAAATTGTAACAGAAGTGAAGCCACACTTGTGCTGCCAAGAGAGCTCTGCTCAGCTCCATCCCAGAGCCCACACACGACAGCTCAGGAACAGCTCCCCCCGCCGCTGCCAGAACACCGAGGGAAGAACTAAATGCAGGGATATTCTGTGTCAGGGATGGCAGTCCACACACAGGTACCAGTGCAGCCACACTGTCACGTGTGATGTCCAAGGGTTAACTGCACTGCTTCTCTCCCCAGGGGCTCATCCCACTCCCGGCAGGCTCCGGGTTCCCCGTACCTCGATCTGTGCCGTGTGCTTGGCGTAGAACTCCAGAGCCTCATCCCCCTCGATCTGACCTCCCGGCTTCAGCATGTTCTGCAGCTCTTTGTTGTGACGAGCCAACTAAAATAAAGGAATGCACAGGGAGTGGGAGACACCAGATGTCTCTCTGTGATATTAAATTTCTGATTTTTGGCATAAAAAAAGAAATAGTACACAGTCAGCTGCTAGGAAAGGGCAAAGTTGACAGAAGGCTTGTTCTGTTCCAACCAGACACCCTGCAGCTCTATTTTGGGAGCAAGTCAGAATGATTCAAATATGTATTTTTTTAATACCAGTGTTGTATTCCTCTTTTCCCCACCCTCTCCTACCCTTTGCCTGGCTTGGGAATCTTTCTGAACGTTCACATTCGGTCTATCCTTCTCCACCCACCCTAACCCAAAGGGGTGCTCATCACCCAAAGATCCAGGCAGGGACAAAGAGAAAATCTGCATCAACTGAACAGCAGATGCACAGAGAAGTGCTCCAAAAATGCTGCTGGATGCTCCAAATCCATCCTGTAGCACAGTGATGGGCTGTCTGCTCAGATGCCACAGGAACAAGAAGTCTCTAATGCAGTAAGAGATGCAGCATCAATGTATTAAGTAGATTTAGATATGTTTTTCTCCCCTTTGGTTTTTTACCTTTCAGACACACATTTTCTCAACACAAAGGCCCTGCTTGGCTCCAGCAGAGTGTGGCAAGGACTAAGATTTCTGCTCACACTTTAATTGATCAGTGAGGAGAATTTCTTTGGGAGTATAAAGTAACCTTTGATACAGCTCAAAAATAATACATTGCTGCTCAGTGCTGCCAAGAATGGAGTCACACGTCTTCAAAACTCAGTCCAGAGCCTGCCTGCTCCCCATTATAAAAGAAAATTTCCCAAATTTTCTTGTATTACAGAATTTTTGTTTCTGATTAAGGATTGGGATTTGCTCTGATAAGAAGGGAACGTGCAGTGAGTTTGTCCCAGAGATGAGCCATAAAAACAGTTCCAGGGAAAAGCAGACTCTGGCTATTCCCAGTTTGTGACTCATGGTGCTACAAAACCTGCAGGTGAAACTCTACCTGATGAGCCAAGATATAAATGTTGTGTCCCACGTTCCTTGGAGATGCTGCAACATCTTCCCCATTCTCTCCATCCTCAAATTCCACTTCTCCCTGCAGATAAGCCTTCTTGATCACTTCCACCTAGAAAAGGACACAGAGGCCACTGAAGAGGAGGCTCAGGCAAAGGGTGGAAGAGGGTCAAGGGGAGCAGAGCATGGACATGTCTCTTAACATCCAGGATAAACAGGCCTGACCTCAGCTTCAGCCCAGCTCACTGACACAAGAAACTAAGCTTTTGGTTCCCCCTCTTCTGGGCCACCCTCTCCTCGAGCTCTGTCACCTCCTGACCTCTGGCCACAGCTCCGAGCTCTGACACATCAGCAGTGCTCCAGCTGTACTTGGCACCTCCTGGTTGTGTTTGCACCAGGTAATACATTACCCAGCCCCAAACCCTGCCACGGTCTACTGGACAGCTCTAAGGCACAAGAAATTTTCATTTCTCTGTCCCCTGTGCAAATAACTTCCACGTGTGGATACCTGCTCTAGTGGAAGGTGTCCCTGCCCATGGCAGGGGGTGGAACAAGGTGAGCTTTAAAGTCCTTTCCAACCCAAACCATTCTGTGATGATTCTATGATTCCAAAGTGTCAGATGATGCTCCTTCCCTGCCTTACACAGGATGCTGAATCTCTCCTCCACAGCACTTGCCTAATCACTTGTGATACCTGGGAACTGGGCTGAGCCATTCCCTGTGGATACTGTGCTCGTGCAACCAGTCCCTTGAAAGGCTTTCCAGTTGCCAGTGAGCTCCTGCAGCATCTCTGGGGTGGACACGGCCATCCCAGCGTCCCCAGTGCTGGAGCACCTGGCTTGAATGGAGTCAGGAGCTTGGGAGTGACCCAGGGACTCACCAGCTCCTTGGGCCTCATGTTGTAGAGGATCCTCTCGGCGTTCTCGCTGTCGTGCCTGCTCTCCATGATGGCCAAGAGCAGCTTCGAAGCATTGTTCTGAGGGAAAGACAACAATCACTGCCAGGAGCCAAAAAATGAGGGTACCCAGCTGGAGTGCCACCACGCCCAGTGCCAAGAAGGGCTTCAGAACCTGGGTGCTACCTGGGTGAGTCACAGGAAAGTATAATTGTCCCAGCCAGCCACCACAAGGCTCCTACAGCCTCACCTTGCCAACCTCCCTCTCCTCTAATTATTGCCCTATGCAACTTAATAGGATTTTTTACCAGTTTATTTCCAAAATCCTACTTATCGAGAGACACCAAATTAACCCAAGACAAGGTTTAAGATTTCTAAAATGCTGCTGTTTCAAGCTCGTGTTACTTTGTTTTGTTTTAAGGATGCTGCAGCATCACCACAAGCTCTGAGCTCCCAAGTGGTGCAGCACAGCTTTGCTGAAGATGCTGCTGATTAAATCAAGGGCCAGGCAGGGCTGAAGTCACAGACATGCTGTGCTGCTTTTAACTGAGCTCACTCTGCAGCCTCCTCACGCCAAGAAAACACAGGGAGGAAATGGGAAACTACCACAAGGCACCAGACTACTTTAATACGAACAATTAAGATTAAAATCCATCATGCCTGACAATAAAACCCAATAAAAGTATTTAATTTTGAAGTATAATGCTAATTGAGTCTAAAAGCATTTTTTATTTACAATAATAAAAACCCCACATTACCCATAATAATGGTGTGAGTCGGCAACGGAAAACAAGGAGACACTGCAGTGTAAGGCAGGGCAATAAGTCAGAAAGGAAATATTTCTCAAGCATAGGCTGAAGCAAGAGTGCTCTGGGACTGCTGTTGCTAGAAGGGAACCTGTTCCTCTATTTTGAAACCAGCACCAGGGCTAATTATTTCAGCATTAATATGAACAGCCCTAAAGAACTGTTGATGATTTAACATCAACTGATTAAACAACAACAATAAAGTATTAGCAAACTAGTTGTAACACGAGAAATTTCACTTCCACTGTGCATGCAGAAGCTCAGCAACAACAGAAAAGTTTTCATCAGCTTTAAATTTTTAACAGAAAATTATTTTAGGATTCCTCAGCATATCCAGACTGCCTGCATTCCCCACGTGAGAACTGGTGGCTCCATGTCATCATTTAAAAGATGAAATACCTGTGACAAACAATCTTTGGGCACTGCCTCCAGCTCTTTGAAGTACATAGTTTTTTGGCACTTAGGAATATTGGGATATAATAAACACCCACATAATTCCAACAATAAAATTATGTTTCATCTTACTGTGAATGTGAATTGCACAAAACATTCACTTGCCTTCAGTTCCAACACGAGGTCCATCCTCTTCTTTCCCAGAGGGTTGATGTCATTGAGAATTAAAGCTGTGATGATGTCAATGCCATTGGACTCGTGAGTAGCAATGCAGTTCTGGCCAAAGAAAATTCATCAGACTTCACTAATTGTCTACACCACAAACACAGCCCGGGCTGGTGACCCCGCCAGAACAGCAGAGTCCCCTCTGTCATCACCTCCAGATGGATAAACTGGACAGAAAGCTCCAGGCAGTGGAACAACAAAAGATTAAGGTATTTTCTTTCAAGCTTTTCCTCTCCTCAGCCATGGTCCTGCTGGAACCCCTCGACCTCAGGAAGCCCCACAGCTGATAAACGAGGCATTTCCATCCCAGAGTGCCAGGCTGGATGCGCAGCTACGGAAGAATCTGTTTTACTGAGATTAGGGAGAGCTTGCTTTATTTGAGGTGTGCCAATCAACACCTACTTCAGCCCTGTCTACCCAAAGAATGGGATTTTCCGGAACCTTCTGCTTACCCTTGAACCCTGCTTGTGGAATGATCTGGAACTAAAATGTTCCAACAACAGCAGCTTGCTGGCCTCAAAATCCAGAGCCCTGCTCTGTCATCGAGCTCCACACCTACATCTAAAGGGTTTTAGTCCACCTGGTTGATATAAAGGACACTCTCATGACCCGGTATTCACACCCTCACGTGTTCTCTCACAGACATGTGATTTCATCTGACCATTGTCACCTCCACTGTGTCTAGCTTTGTTCTAAACTCCTTTGGAGCACTCAAAGAAAAGGCATTTCTAAGGACTGATATACTCAAAGACTTTTTGAAAAGTCATATCCAGTCTTTATGGACAATACTGTGGTTCAAATAGCATGGAAATGGAGAAAACAAGCAGAAAGTGGCACAGGTTGCCCAGAGAAGCTGTGGCTGCCCCAGCCCTGGGAGTGTCTAAGGCCAGGGTGGGGTGTGGAGCAACCTGGGATAGTGGAAAGTGTCTCTGCCCATGGCAGAGTTTGGAACCAGATGGTCTTTAAAGTCCCTTCAACCCAAAGAATTCTGTGAGATTCTATGAAATACAAAAATTCCCCACTTTCCTTGTCTGTCAAATCTAATAAAACAGCTTAAATCCCAGCAAAGCAGAAATATCTCTACTGCTTTGAGAGGTTTGACTCCTCAGAGGAGGCCCTGAGAAAGGGAAGTTGATTATGATGGGTTTATAAAGAAAAAAAAAAATCCCCCAACCTGTAGGGCAAGTCAAGTGGGCAGCATTACAAGATAACACCAGTCTGGCAGACAGAGCCAAGCCCAGCAGAGCTGGGGCTCAGGGGGGAAGGGGGATGCTTTTCCCAGCTCTGGATGTGTTACCTGGTTCTCATGGCAGGGCCCCTGGCAGTACTCAGTCAAACTCTCCAGGGTCTGGTTGATGAGGGCCACGTTCTTCTCATTGATGTACAGCCCCAGCAGCCCAAGCCCCCCAGTTGTGCTCCCACAGATACAGTCCAGGAACTGCAGTGTCTCACACACCAGGTTGTAGTTTGTCTTGTTGTTCTGGCAGCGTAGGAAGTTCTGTGGGGAGAGTGACAAAGCCATAAGGGAAGGGGAAAAAAGGCATCCAAACTGCTGTTTGGTTGATAGTGTTTATTAAGTTCATCATCCCTAACTGCACTGCATGGTGGATTGCTCTAGGTTCACTGTACAAGCAGTTTAAGCCTATTCCAGGGCTTATTTTCAATGTGCTGCTCTCTTGAGCAGCTTTTTGGCTTCCCATTGTACAGAAGCCAAGCAGCAATAAACTGAGTGCATCCAATAAACAGTGCATCCATTAGAGGCTGAAACCCAACACGGAGCAGGCCCTTCACTGCGGATCACAAAGCTCTCCTGAGCCTGGAAGGTTCCCTCTGCCTGCTCCATTTCACTGCTAACCATCACTCAAGGCCCTCTCCTCCCCAGACCTCTTTCCAGGGGGGGAGCAGAAATCCCTGGCTGTGGCCTCACAGCAGCTCCACCTGTTCAAAAGGCACCTGACTGCACACCTTGAAGGAAGGAGCCTTGAAACACCATCCTCTCCACTGCATTTCTTCCCACATAATTACTGTAATTCCTGCTTGAAGCTGCTGATTAGGAGCAGCTCCTCTAATGAAATGCCAGATGTATCGGTGTGGATTTAACAGGTTTCTGCCCTCCTGTATTCCAAATGAAAAAACCCAACCAAATCCAACCAAAACCAAAGGACACTTAATGAACACCAGTTTCCCAGTGACTTGGACGTTGTCATTGCATTGCCAGCAGTGCTGCAAAGATGGACAGCCACTACCACTTTCTTTTCCTTGATGTTTCAGCAGGAAAACTCTTATTCTAGCAGGTAATTCTCTTAATTCTAGCAGGTAGCAACACTTCCAAGGTGAAAAACCCCTCAGAGGAACAAGAGACGTGGACTATGGAACCAGCAGGGTCTTTTCTGCCAGCCCAGAGAAGCCCTGGTCCCTGCCTGCCTCTGGTGTCTGCATCAGACTAGTCAGTCTTTTAAGGCAAACAGAGGGAGAAACTGCAGATTCAATGGAAGGCAAAGCTAAAAAAGGAAAATGCTGTCTATGAATGCAGACTAAAGGTGACAGTGATTCAGCACATTTCAGCTGATTGCTCATTTAATATCCTGACTTCTGATTAACTTATCAGAATGTAGAAAGGTTGATGCTACAGAAATCAGAGCTTGTGTCTTCCCTCCAGGAAAAAAATAAAAGATAATACTGAAAGTGATGAAATAAAATGTTCCCTGGCTGCAGCACAGCATTTGCTCTGCTTACAGCTGGGTTTGTACCTTAGCTGCTTGATCCACGGTCAGTAAACACAAAGGAGGGAGGAGGAATGAGGCACAAGAACAGTAGGACACTGTTAGATGGGCTAAAACAAGGAGAAAGAAAAAACTAGAAAACAAGACCCTGCTGCACTGTGAGAAACTGCCCCAGGGAGTGTCTGCTGCTGTCCCAGCCAGTACAGAGAGAGCTCTTCATTTTCTGTCCTCCAGAGCATCTCACAGGCTACAGAGTGGGAACACAGAGTACTGAATGGGCCATCCCACTGCTTTCCATGGGAATGATCCTGAGGGATGGACCATCTGAAAGACCCTGCACTCAGAATGAGGAGCCACAGAGATGCAGGTTCGGCTGGAACGTGTGGAAAATATGCATCAACTCATTCCTCCCAGTCCTTGCATTCATCTGAAGAAGGTATTGCAGCTCCTCCAGCCCCATGGAGAGAGCTGAAGGGAACAGCACCCTGTCTGGAGCTGTGTGTGGGAAGGGAAGCAGTGAGGGACACAGCAGGCACAGCACTGCAGCTGCTGGAGCAGATCCCTCCTCCTCCAAACACAGCAGCTCTCACGACCTGCCTTCCCCTGGGTTTGCACAGCAGCTCCTCACAGCTGCCAACAGCCTGGAAAGGCTTGGGGTGCCCGGCCCACACTGGCACCAGGCAGGTGATCCCAATTCACTGCCCATTCCAATGTAACCTGGCCAATTCTGGGAGAAGCACAGCTTCCAGAAGAGTCTTTCCTTATTCCTTCAGGCAAGGAATCCTTTAGTATTATTGTAAGGAGCTCAGCTACATACAGTAGCTGCAGACATCAAGAGTTTGGAGGATCAGACATCCTGCTTCTCCTTTGGGGCTGAAGGAGAAGGACAAGCCTCAAAGCAGTTAGAAGATTAGACTGGAAAAATTGTTCCACCTTTCCTTTAAAACAAAATAAAAAATCCTTTTTTCTCCCCAAGCTGACTACAACTACCTGCTGCTTGGGAAAGCTGATTGTTCAGGAGGGGGGAGAGCTCAGGCCAAGTTTCTGCACTGGCTTGACTTCAGCTCTACTCCTATAGCTGTGGGGCCTCGCCAAGGGCAGCACAGATCCCGTACATGTGGTTTGGAGCTGTGCCACAGGAACTGCTGCCTCTGACATCCCAATGGCACCAAAACCTCTGACAACACACACATCAAACAGCTTTTCTTCTTCAAAATGAGAGACACGCTGCTGTGTGTAACCTGGGCACTGACAAATGCTCCCGAGCAGCAGGCTGGGAGCACAGGGACGTCTCCCGGCTGGGATCCCACGTGCTCCAGCAGGGCATTCCCGAACAGAGGAAGCGACTTGGCAGGGCTGCAGAGCTCTCACACAGGGTCCCCACTGCTGCCGTGTGGGGAACAATGTGCAATCAAGGCAATTATTCCTCTTTATGAGGGCATTTAGCACATTGCACGGCGCCTCATCAGCTCCTCGGTTCCAGCCCAGCAGCAGTGGCTGCGCTGAACAAAAATCATCTTAATTGCAGCCCCTCTGTGGGCAGAAATCTGCTCTCATGTGGAGGCACGTGCTGGGGTACAGGGCCTGGGCTCGCTGCTTAAAATTGTGCAAACACACCCCAGGGCATCACAGCTGAGGCTGCCAGGACCTTTGGAGACTGCCTATTCCAATGCCACTCATGGGGCAGCTGGAGCAGAGCCTGGCCCTGTCCTCTCCACATCCCATGTCAGGTATTTGTACACACAGTGAGACATCCCAAGTTCTCTTCCTCTCTAGCAGAAGCCCTGGTACAGGGTGCCCAGAAAAGCTGTGGCTGCCCCATCCCTGAAGGGTTGGCTCAAGGCCAGGTTGGATGGGGCTTGGAGCAACCTGGGCTAGTGGAAGGTGTCCCTGGCCGTCAGATGCTCCAGTCCCTTGGTCATCTCTGAGCCTCCCTGCTGGACTCAGGAGTGCAGGACCGAACCCAGCATTCCACATGGAGTCTGGGGCATCCAGCTTGTTTAGATGCATGTCCAGCTTGTTTAGATGTTTCCTATCCCAATTCTCCTACACCAAGGGGGATTCTTCCTTGCTCCACACCTCACCACTGGTCTTGGGCACGTAGGGTTGCTGAAGGTCAGCCTTACCCATAAATAGCAGGATGTAGGTGGCACTGAGCACCCTGACCTTCTCCCTGTCCTTCGTCACCAGGGTCTCTGCCCATTTCCAGCAGATCCATGCTCTCCCCCTGCTCTGAACACAACCTAGAAACCCTTCTCATTGCCCTTCGTGTCCCTCAGCAGATTAAACTCCAGCTGAGGCTTTCCTGACATCATCCCCATGTGTCCAACTCTAGACATGTGAACAGACCCATGAAAACCCAGGAGAACCTGTTCACTGGAAAGAAGCATATACTCAAGGGCTGCTTTATTTTCCTACATGACTTTGTTTTTTCTTTCCTTCCCCTCTCAAAAGCAGATCAGTAGCTTTACAGCAGGAGACCTGCTTGTTATAAGCACATACTTTAAAAAAAAAACCCCACGAGTGTTGGTCCCATCACCTAATTATAGACATTGAAAAGACCAGTGAGCCCTGGATAACTGAACTTCTTCGTATCAGTCCGGCAAGGTATAAATACTTTTTTTGGGATTAACTTCAAGGCCAAAGAAAATAGTTGGTCACGTGACCCATTTAAAAAGGCACAGGATTAGGGAGAGAAATGGGACCTGAGCACACCTGCCCAGGCGCCAGGCGGTACCTGCAGATCCCGGTTGTGGTTTTCACAGAGCAGCTGCAGGAACCGCAGGATGGGCTGCATGATGGAGATGACAGCACTCATCTCCAGGTCATCCTTGCTCTTGTCTGCTGCAGCCTGGGCCCCCTCCCCTGCCGAGTAGTGCTCCTCGGGGTCGGCCTCCCTGCGGTACGTGTTGTACGCCTTGCGCGTGGCCGCAGACGCCTCCAGCAGCTGATCCCGGACCTCCTCCGTGATCTGGGTCATGGGCTCCCTCACTACAACACACAAGAGCAGACCTTCTTTATGGAAACTGAATCAAGGGGACCACAGCATCTCTGCACACGTTCCCCCTACAGCTTCACAGGCAGGCCAGCTCTTCACCAGCAGCCCTTTGGTGAGTACGTTTAGTGTGCTGTGAGGGTCTCGTGTCACACTCTGCACCTTGTATGCCAACCACAGTAATGTTATAAACTGGGTATTAATTGGTTAGGGCACACACAGTCTAGCTCTACTAGGAGTTACAATAAGAGGACCTGCTTTAGAAGAAAATTAGGATTTCTCCAGGTATTGTCAGAGAAGGCACTGACCACAACCCACAGTCCAGGGTCGTTACTAGGGATCAGATTTGGGCAGCTTGTCACGAGAGACAAGGCAGCAGAGTCTCATCTCAAACATTTTCATCGTTTCAATAGCACAACCTCCCAAATGGATGAAGAGGGGATGAAGCTCTTGAAATCCCAAGCCAGGGCGCCACTGATCTCTGAACTTTGCTGTGTGGGATCAGAGATCAGAGTATTATTGCATCAGCTGAAACGAGTTCAAAACACACTTCACTCCCTTGTCACTTCAGAAAGGGAACGACTGGGGATTACCTCTTTTCCTGTTGGGTACATCTCTGTCTGAGTCTTCATCTTTCTTTTTGTTTCCTAAGTCACTGGTGTTGACTGTGACAGTTGCCTTGATTTCTTGCTGTGCCACTTTCATGCGATCATAAAAAACCTTAAAGAACTTCTCGGATTTCTTGTCTTCCGTCAGTCGGCAGAAGAAGGAATGCTACGAGAGAAAATGAACAGGATCTGCAGCTGAATCCAGATTATCCCACCTTTCGGCACTGACTGGCATCCTGGAGGAACTGGAGGTTAATTAGTTGTCAGTAAACTGAAACCCAGAGCAATGGAAACTCGTACTTTATTGTTAAGGAAGCCCCAGTGTCTCAGCTTTGTTAACTCCCTTATTAACAACTTCAAATACATTATTAAAGAGAAGTGAGGGCAATAAATCACACCAGCCCTGACAGATTTGGGCAGCACACCTCTCTCAACAAGGGGACTAAGGTAAGTACCATGAATGAAGGTAAGGAAGGTGGAATTTCCTATAATTTGATTCTCAGTTCAGAAATAAAAGGGTATGAGCAAAATACAGAGGAAAAAGAACTGTCTTGCCTTCCCACCCTCAAATCCAAGGGACTGTGAGTCATAACACGCCACAGCCAATGTTAATCACAGTCCAAAAATGTACAAACAGGGCGATGGCGTGAGGGACATCTCGTGCTGAGCTTCCACTGCCCTGCCTGCAGCAGGCTCCTTAAAACTCCTTTTAATTCCCACTCTAATATATCATAAGTGACAGAAAAACTCCAAGCACGGACTACTTTTAAGAAGGTTTATTACTCTTCTCCTTCCCATATGTGCACAGAGACAGAAAGTTCTTCCTAAGATCGAGGGGAATACAAATCATGTACAGGTCAAGCAGGAGCCAACACAGTGAGTGATCAGACAACTCTTGATGAAACCAATATGGTGTTACATAAATCAGGACCAGAGCTTAAACACGACTGAAGGATGAACTTGTAAGTGGGTCACCTTATGCAGAGCATTATGAAATTAGTTAGCATTCTGCAGCGGCTCGCCATCCAACAGCTTTACACGATGAATAGGAATGAAGCCTGATTTATTGAGAAAACAAATTAAAATGGGAATGGCAGTATCTCCTGCCCGCTCTGCTCCGAGCGGAGCACACGAGGCCGGGGCTGCCTTTGATCACTCCCCAGCAGCTGCACGGGAACACACCGAGTGACTTTGAACGCTCCGAGCTGTGTCTTTGATTACAGGCAGAGGAGGAGTGGGGCTATTTAAAGAACTTGGTCAATACCCACAACACCCCTCCCACCACTGTGACATCTTCCCCCTGCCCACAACAGCTCAGGTGAACTCCTGGTTGTTCTCACTTCTAGTGATTACCAGAGGAGGGAAAGGAGCAGAACCCAGCACAGGCCTCCCACATCCACTAAAACCAGTCACACCAGTACCCCCCTCCTGACACCCATTCAAAGAGCCCAGTAAAACAGAGCTCCCAGAGACCTGCAGGACTTGCCCTTTGCCCAAACAGTGCTGGGCCTGTGACATGTCAGAAGATGATCTGGGTGCCCGATCCATTTAATAGCATTTGTACAACTATTCTCTAATCCAAGACTTCATATCAGAAATTTTAATGTTTTATCATCATGTTTGCTCATGGTTTTAAACTAAAAAAAAGGTCAAACTAGATTAGATATACCGAAGGAATTCTTCCCAGTGAGGGTGGGGAGGCCCTGGCACAGGTTGCCCAGAGAAGCTGTGGCTGCCCCATCCCTGGGAGTGTCCAAGGCCAGGTTGGACAGGGCTTGGAGCAACCTGGGCTAGTGGAAGGTGTCCCTGGTGGAACTGGATGAACTTTAAGATCCCTTCTAACCCAAACCAATCTGGGATTCTATGATCCTATAAAATACACTCAAATAAAAAAACATCCTTGGCCTGAATAAGTTCACTTATCCATATTTTTTATTTTTCATTCTAAACTGGTTTTTAGACCTGACCAGACCCAATGAACAGAAGATTGTCAAATTACAATCAGAACTAAGAGATGCATTAACTGGTTTCCCTGTGCTGCTGACCAGTAACCAAACCCCCAGATAACTGCCAAGCCTAAACTGTCTGTTACTTGGTGGCTACGAGGACAGACAGAGGAAGACTTTGCACCTAAGGTGCATCTTAGAAATTTTACTCTACCAGTATTAAACATAATACTACTACTTTACAGACAGACCAGCATAGACCATGGGCTCTGGAAAGGGCAATCACTCTAAAACATCCCGTTATTTGCTCATCAGGCAGTGCTGGGGGTCACCTGCTGTCACCTGGCTGCACATCCCCACAGCCCAGACAGGAGTTACCCTGTGATGAAGCTATGGTGAAGGAAAAGCTTTTTTTAATGAACCACACTAAGGAAATACCTTGTATGAGAGTAATTATTGCTGACAGACTCAATTTTTGTCATCCTTTCAAGCTTCTTTACTGACTTTCCACTGCGCTTCAGAGAAAAAACCCAAATGAAAGGAGCATTTCCAGTAAAGCTTTTAGTGCATGCTGTGCATACACTCAAGGGGTGTCACAAAATGATTGTTTCAGTTTAGGTCAGGATGCCTAACACCTTCACACATATGAATCAACCACATGCCAGCTATCAAAGATACTGTATTTTAAGAGGTGTGATCTCACAAGTTGCGCTTGAGCAGGTAACGGGTGGTGATAATTATGACAGAAATCCTAAAATTTTATTTACAGATATAGCCTCAAAGCAAAAAGTGGAAAAGTCTCCCTTTTTAAAATGGAAATGGAGTGGCCATTTTAGAGCACCGTCTGCTGGGGTCCTGCTTGCACACAGACACCCTGCAACCACAGCAAGGCTGCTGAAAGAGCAAGTGTGGAGGAACAGCCAACCTCCACACTCGTACGGGTGTTTGAAGAACAGAGCTCCCAACGTGCCCCTGACATCAGCCATCCCTGAGCAGTCAGTCACCACCAGGCTGGGGCTTGGGATCTCCTAAAAACCTACTGCAGGGCAGGGAATTGTGATCCATAACATCCACATGGGGCTGTGTCTGGCTGGCCCAGTATGAGGCACCAGAGGAGAAGCTGCCTGAAAGGTAAGTGGAGATAAAAGCTCCATCTCATACCTCAGACACTGGCAGCAAAAGCTGGAGACAGATTTGTGACAAGGGTCTGGGGGGACAGGACAAGGGGGAATGGCTTCCCACTGCCAGAGGGCAGGGATAGATGGGGTATTGAGAAGGAATTCTTCCCTGTGAGGGTGGGGAGGCCCTGGCACAGGATCCCAGAGAAGCTGTGGCTGCCCCTGAATCCCTGGAAGTGTCCAAGGCCAGGTTGGATGGGGCTTGGAGTAACCTGGGCTAGTGGAAGGTGTCCCTGCCCATGGCAGTTGGGTGGAAATAGGTCCCTCCCAACCCAAACCAATCTGGGATTCCTGGAGTGCTAAAATCATGTAATATGAAACCACTTTACTTCAACCTTGTTTTGTTAATGACTGTGACAAGTCACTTCCATTGAACAAGTGCCATGACACAGCAGCCCATGAGGTTTTCCCCAGGAACTCCAGGTTCAGCAGACAGCTTTACAAGTCCACACACCTCAACAAAACACAACAGATCTCTAGTGCACATCGACCAGCCAAGTGAATAAACCACAACTGCTCGGAGGTGACAATATCTGAGATAATGTGATGGCCACTAATTACACAGCCACCAAACTAAACTGAAAACCACCTGCATGTGACACGCACAAGGGTCTAACAGGACAGCTACGCTCACCATGGGCAAGGACATCACCACAGAGCTCTCCATCACCTTCAAAGATGGAGCAACCACCACCTGCACAAACTCACTCATTGTTTCAAGGGGACGGAAGGAGAAGAACCAGCACAGCACCATGTCTGCAAAGCCAGTCACACCATTCCTCCTCCTGACATCCAAAGTGATCTAAAATAAACTGAAGGCCAAGTTTAAATTGCAGCACACTGACCAGCCACAGCCTGGCCCACCCTGGAGCACCAGCAGCCCCTCACTCTCCCTCATCAACTCAGCCAAAGCTGTGCTTAAGTCATGCGTTTTTTTGAGAAAAGCATCTGGTCTTTCTTTAGAAGGCAAAGATGATGAACTATGTCTGACTATAGGCTATTCCAGTGGTAAATAACTGTTAGAAACATGTGATTAAGCTCCTTTTTATGTCACTAACTTCCAGTCATTGGTATTTTTTTGTGTCTCTTCTGTAGTTATTCCCAGGAATTTGGTCTCCGATCCCCTTCTAACTATTTACATACTCTGTGAAATGTTTACCTAATGTTTCTTGCTAAACTGAAAACACTATTTTTGCTTGCTGGCTTTTCATTTCAGCTTTAATATCATTTTCTGTGGTGGTTATTTTTTGGCATGTTCTTAAATATTGCAGATCATTAACAAGCTGGATTGCAGAAGCACATTTAAAAAAAAATAAATCAGCAAAGAACTGGCACGTTTCCTAGCATTAGCATTTCATTCCAAGACCTTTGACATATGTAATATACATAATTTCCAGTGATGAGTGAAAGAGAAGCTCAGCTCACTCCCCAGCGGTTCAGGGGAGGGGGATTACAGAGGTAGGATAACCAAGGGCAGGGACAAATGCTCCTTAGTGTGATTCCTGTACCAGCAATCGGTAAAAAAATGGATTTTAACCAGCAGAACTGGCATCTGTCCTCAGGAGAACAAAGCCATAAACCCCAGCAGCCCGGTACCTTTGTGTAAGGTGCACAGAGTACAGACTCAGGTGACCAATCCACTATAAATATAACTAATCCACAATAAATTCAATGATGAGTGAGTTTGTGCCCAGTGTAGGATTATTAAATGGGAAAAAAACCAGGAACCAGCTGAAGGCAGCTTATTTCTAGCTCTTGCCTTTGAAAGCCTGGCCCAGTTTGACCTGTGTGCTGTGTCACCTTTACTGGGAGCACCTTTCCCTGTGCTGTAACCTGGGTCTGCCCCGACGTCACTACTGTTTTGCCGGCCAAGAAAAGGAACAACTGTTGGATTACTTTGTAGGAACAGCTTGACTTTCTGCCCCAGACACTAATTCCAGGCTGGCCTGTCGGAAGGATCATGTGAGAAACAGAACCCAAACCTATCAGCAAGTGCTGGGTTTAAGCAGCAGCATCTGCTCAGCTGTGTTTCCTCCCAAGAA